GCCGACTTTCCAATTGGCCAGAGGCGGCGGGATTGCCCTCGCGAGGTCGCCGTGTAACTGGGGCATTGCCGCAGTTCCATATCCGTCAGCAGCTTGTAGACGCCATCTCCATTCTCCCCCGGCATATTGCCTAATTCTGGCAAGACCTTTACCCACGGACGCGTCGCGCGAGGGTGTCCACTGCCAGCAGAAAAAAGCGGCCGAAAGGACGCTGGATTGCGCGAGCAGTGAGCACCCTTGCGTGAGGAAGCAGCAAATCCCAACAGACGGGAAAGATGGCTCATGGCCTCATTGTTATCCACGTTTAGTGGAATGACGACGTCACGCAACGCATGTGGCGCCGCCTCCTCCCTTGTAGCTACAGCACGGACATCCTGAAGGCCACCACCACCGCAAGTCTCACCCAGCAAAGCTCCATCAGGGAAGAGTTCGGGTTTTACCACCATTTGAGCAGAAAAAAAGCTGTTACTATCAGGCAGCACAAACTCCCCAGGTTCAGGGGAGCCCGATATCGCACCTGCTCCGATTTCGTGAATGCGACAACTAGCGAGTACGTTCCACAGCAGGGCAGATTTGCTTCCTTCGATTTGCACCCTTAATCCACGTGGAACATGGAGGTTGTACCATTCTCTCAAAAGGGCGGGGCGGTCCTCACCCAGTTGAAGAAGGCGCACCATCTTATTTATCCAAGAGCCGTCTAGCACTGTTCTTGCGTCTTCGCTAAGACATGCCGCAATAAGAAGCGCTTCCGCTGGCTTGTTTTTCTCCCACGCTGCGGCTGCATGGAAGGAGCGAAAAGGAGACGACGGTGAGAGCATTCCAAAGTGGCGAGGCCCAAAAAAATTAGGAAACGCCGCAAGCCACCCCAGGGCTCGCCTCTCCAATTGGGTCGGCTCCGCGTTAGTGATGCCACGCAGAAGCATGCTGTACTGCATCTGGCAGCGATAACTATAGAGCGGATCACAAGGAAAAGAACGCCAGCCGAGGAGCTGTAAATTGAGTTTCAGCGGTCGCAGGTTTACTCGAAGTAACTTTTTAATGACAGTTGCTTGGTGCGCCTCATAGGAGGCGGAGTCGGGCGATATCAAGCACAGACTACACACTTGAACAGTGACCGCCGACTCTTCCAACGCGACATTCGCCACAAAGCATTCTGGAGGACACATCCCCTCACAGGCCTCGCTCAAGATACGAAAAGCCTCAGAAAGAGACAACCCCTCCTTGTAAAGTACAAAATGCAAATACCGCTGCTCTGCCCCAGTCGATTTGTACTGACTGATATTGATCGCATCTGGCAAAGTCGGAGAAATAAAAGTAACAATCTTTCCATTAGGAAGCACTTCCGCTACCTGTACGTCACTTGTGTACATTCGAAATCCGCAGAGCCTAGACGAGCGTTTACCATCTTTGCCGGAATGCAACCTTGCCGCAATACCTGCCTGCAGTTCCAACTCCTGCATGGTGGGTCCAGGCCGCAACTGCCTTAGGCTTGAAAGAGTGCTGCGGAAGTTACCACCATCACGAATAGCACGCACGAAATCTCGGGCAAGGCTTAGTGCGCCGTCAATGTCGACGGCAGCAGCTACCCGCCGCAGAATAGTAGGATCCAGGGTTGGATTGTACAGCAGCAGCGCGTCTTCTACACGGCTAGCTGAGGCTACAGTGGTTTCATCCATTCTTGACCTTATCCGTTTCATGTCATCTGCGACCGCCGAGGGAGACGTCAACGCCTGGTTCATTTGGAGAAGTGAACGGAGCTTGCATGCTATATCTGCAGAATCTCGGGAGAGTCCCTGCGGTGCAGACGGTGGGGCCGGGAGGGATGTCATCTCCGTGCGAAGGTCGTTCAAAATTGGCGACGCAAACAGTGAGGTTTGAGGCGCTGACGACATCGTTGCGGTTGTGGCTGTGGAGCGTCGTGGAGGGGCACGCCGCACCCGCATCCGCCGGCTCACGGCTGCCATGGCGGCTTGCACGGACGGCGACCGAGGTGACATACCCTTTTTCTGCAACCCTGCGCTTTCAGGCTTGTGGAATAACGAAAAGAACAACACAGAGGGTCATCGCCGCAGCTCACCCATCAGGTGGAAGCCAGAAAACAACGACTTCCACCACAATGAAGAGGCAACACTATCAGAGAGATCGTTCAAATTACGGAGCCGAACAGCAGGATTTTTTTTTTCTTTTGGCGTTGCCAAGCTGTTTCCGGGGCAAGCAAAGAATTTTGCCCGTACAGTCTTCCCTACAAAAACCACGAAACATAAAAGCAAAAAAGAAAAAAAAAACGCATCTCAAAGAGATTTGTGGTGGTGGTGAGAATGTGCCAAACACCGCAGAGGTCCTATTGTTTTTTAGCTTGGCACATAAAACAGATAAGTAAAAATAAACGCATACAGACGTACACGTGTAGACGTTTATTTTGTGTGTCACTTTTCCCCACTGTATTCTTCTTTTCTTCTTCACTTCTTCGTTTATTTTATTGTCTTTTCGTTGGCGAGCATTTCCATTCTTTGCTCAAGCCTGTTTGTTGCCGTGCAGTTTAGAGGCGCTTACCAGTCTCCTGTGATCGCCATTCAAGTTTGCGAAGCGCACAACAAGCTCCGTCAAGAATTGAAAATCAAAAACCTTGTTCGCCACTCGGAACGCTGCGGTCGTCAGGCCTTGATCCCACACAGTGAGGCGTCCTGCAGAAGCAAATATTTGTTCAGCAATGTGCGTTGGCGATATTGCTGCCTTCTGCATGGTCTTGAGAGAGTTCAGTGTCGGTCCGTGGTTCTTGTAAAAGTTTGTCTTCACGGGCGAGGGGTGAATTACAACCACATGAATGCCTGCATGGCGCACTTCCGCCGCAAGGGTTGTGGCAAAATTCGTCAGAAACGCCTTGGAGGGGCTGTACATTGTCGCAGTTGGGCCAGGGAAGTAGCAGGCAGAAGAGGAAGTGAACGCCACAAGGCCCCGACGCCGCCGTTCCATCATTTTGCGTAGAAAGTGATGGGTGATGGGGATGGCGCAGGCGGCGTTGCATTCAAGGTTTGCACGCAACTTCTCAATCCCTGTGTCCGTGAAGAGCCCAGTGTGGATGTACCCGGCGTTGTTGAAGAGGAGACCGACTTCGATGTCGTTTGTCGCCTCAATGATGGGCGACATGTAACTCATTCCTTCCCCTCCCAAATCCACCCCCACCTTGCGGAAGCTGCACTTCGGGTACTTCTTCTGAAGCTCGGCAAAAGTGTTGTGGAGCAGTGGCTCCTCCAGGGCAACGAGCACAACGTTAATTTGTTGTTGCGCAAGCTTCTCTGCGATAGCCTTCCCGATGCCGCTGCTCGCACCCGTCACAAGGGCCCATTCCGCGCCGTATTTTTTTTTAGGTCTTGCGGGAAGCGCACAACCAGCTGCTGCGCGGCGACGGCCAACAGATACGTGACCACGCTGATGAGACCCACCAGCAGCGAGAGGGTGGACAAAACGTACCACAGGCAGCTAAAAATGAAGTTCATTTTCGTCTACTGATGCCCCCGCGATGTGCCCGGTGTTCCCTCCGCTTCGCTCTTGATTTGCTTTTATTGTTCTTCGTACTCTTTTTCGTGTTGAACTTTGTATTACCTGTCGGGAATGCGCGCCCCCGTCCATCACACCGCAGATGCGCCCACACAGAGGCGTCAAAGAAGCAAGCGGGCAGCGTTGGGGTGAGGAGGCAAATGACAGTTGTCGAAGGGTGGCAGGAGATGCGGGAAGTCTTTAAGTGCGGAACAATGCCGCAGCCAACGCAGCCAGCAAACAGAAGCAAAACTAGCAAACTCACAAAACAACTAAGCAAAAAAAAAAGAGCAATACTGTCAAACACCAGAGACGCACCGGTGTTTTTTTTTATTCTTCTTTTTCCCTGTAAAATACTCACTTCTAGGAGGCAGAACGCACTTCCGCAACGCCGACCCATCCACAGGGACCTCCGACACCCTCCTTCCCCTCGCCTTTGTTTTATCTTTCCTTACAGCTCGTCCTTTGGAAAATAAAAGCTGCGCATAATTTTCATAGGCTCCACTGCTGAGAAATCCGCCTGAACGGAAAGAAGCCGTGCCCTTCTCGTCACTCCTTGGGGCAACATACATCGCTGAACAACAAAGGCCACACAAGAGTCTTTTTGGGCAACGGGGCGAAGAACCATGCTATAGATTGACTTTCCAGAATCATCTTGTCTGCACAGACTATTGTACAACTCATCTTCTGGAATTAGCAGACGTGCTCTGGGGCACACACTGTTTCTATAATCCGACCATGCTCGCATAAAGCCATAGCTGCCGACGCCTCGATCAGCATTGCCTGCCCCAGCAGCCCTAGTATCGGAAGAGTTATAAGTGTGAAGATGGAAAAGATGAAAGGTGCCTGAGCCTGAAATACAGGCAGCTATGGTGTCCGTGGAAGAGACAAGCAACCCCAACGCATGAACCACATTGGGAGTTGTTCCTCGCGAGAACTGACAAAGTACCGTGTGGTTCTCAACATCAAGTAGCTTAAGCGATGTCCCCCGCTCACTCACCGTGAGTGCCCGCATACCGTCGGGAGTGATGGTGATGCAACTCACCTCATTGCGGTGAAGCTCCACAACGTTTACCGTGAGTTGAGGGGTGAGTTTCTTCCCGAGGTCGGGAAATGGATCTTGCAGCAAACTTGACTGTACATGCCTTTCACTAGCGTAACAAACGCATCGCACCGTTCCGGTCCTCGGACCAAGAATGACCCCATACAATTGCGAATAAAAAATACCACACGCCGATTTCTCCACAAGCACGGTGCCCAACGCCAACGTTTCACCCCTCGGACGCGAGCTCAATGCCGGCTTCGACACCTCAAATGACTCAATCATATGTAGTGTGTGGTCAAAAACGTAGGTGAGGCCCGTTTCAACGCCCACCAACACCATACAGGGATGAAACCGCACCGCAGTCACTACTGCAGAGAGCTTGACACGCGCCAGCACCGACGGGTCGTCATTCATTGTGTTGTCCACAGAGAGGTCCAGTATCGTGACGGTGTCGCGGCGACTGGCTTCCCAGCCCACCAAAATGGCCAGGTTACTCTGCCCGTGTAAAGCCAGGATGCCTACGCCGCCTAACACAGGTCGTTGAATGACCTCACGCAGGCATCCATCCTCATTCAAAAGCAATTCTGTACTGTAAATAGCAAAACCATGCGTCAGACCAACCGCCAGGCTTGTGCCTTCGTTGTTCCAAGAGAGGTACGTCACCCGCTGCCCCGGTCTTTCAGCAATCATCTGAGCCCGTTCTTCTTTCCTGCCCCACTTCTTTCAGCTTCTGCATCAAGTTCAGGCCCAAGCGAGAGAAAGGGAGTGAAAAATAGAGTGTGTGTGTGTGTGTGTGTGAGAGAGAGAGAGAGAGAGAGAGAGAGAGAGAGAGAGAGAGAGGAGGA